AAACTAAATTGTGTGTGTGTGTGTGTGTGGTATAATACTATACTATATATCGTATTCGTATATATATGATAATTATATGTATGTATATATATTATATATATAAGTATATATATATATGAGTATAATATAACTATAATTATATATACTATAATGTATTCCTTGTCTAGGGAGGATTTCCTCCTTGAACGCCTCTAAAATCACCATTGATTGGAGCGAGCATTGTTGGATGATCCGGCTCTATGAACTTGATTTAGCATATTCTAAACCCAACTATACAAGTTGGGGTACCGTCGTCGTTTGACGCCGCTTCGTGCCACTGCGGGTATCAATTTTTAACGGTTTGAGAGAGTAGAACTTTTCACATGGGCTCGGCATGGAGGGTCAAACGACGCGGATTCACCCAAACTTGATGTGTTGGGTTTAAATATGTAGATCAAGTTCAAACAAGCGATCATTTATAATATCGCTCAATCATGCTGATTTAGAAGGCCGTTAAGGAGGAATTTCCCCTCCTATGACAAGGATACCCATTAATCTCTCCTCTCTCTCTCTCTCTCTCTCTTATATATATATATATATATATGAAAAACAAAACTTGTGTTGTATATATATATAACTATATATATACAGGGAAACCAATATAATGTGTGTGTATATATGATTGAGCTTAAAGTACCAACACATATAATATAAACCTAAACTAATGTTACCCAAACTTGATCTTGATCTTCATTGTAGCTCAACTTGGTAAACTTGGATGAAGCTTGTAATTGGATCTTTTAACTTGATAGCAATGCTTCACTCTACTATTCCGCCAACCTTCATTTGATATAATCGTTATGACACAATCCATCCATCCTCTAACGTGTTGTTTGTCTACAATTACAAAAACACAAACACTAGACAAACAACATTAGAAGTAAATTGTTTGTAAATCATCATCAAAACAAGAAGGCCAACAGATTCTAGAACTAATCAAAGGCTACCCCCTAAAGGGTGCCGATGAAAATACATGCCTTTATGGCATCGTTACCTGCTACATTCCCAATTTATTAGTGAAAGTAGTAAATATGTTAGTTTGGAGAATCTTTACCATCAAATGTATGTAACGTTAGTAGTTTAAATTTTATCAGGTAGGGAACCATGTCCCACTCGATAGGATAAAGTTGGATGGATCCAGCCTTCTTTAGCTCAGTTCTTGAGAAAGAACATTGAGCTACTTTTATATGTCCTCTGGAGCCTTTGCTTCCTTGCTCGACTTTGAAGGAATTGTTGCTTCTAATCTTGTATGTTTAGATTTTGCATCATCTTGGTGCTCTAGAACTTCTTCTGGAGAGGATTCACCAATTGACTTTTTCCCCTTTGAAGATCTCGCTTGAGATTGAGATATCAACAAGAGTTGTTCAACCATCTTCTCCAAACATTCAATCCTTTCATCTGAGTATTTCTTTTGAGTTGCCATTTAAGCAAGAAGATCTTCTTGGTCTATTATATCTACATCCCATTGTCGCACTTGACATGAACTAGGGATTATTAGATGCTATGGCGGAATTGGTGACATTAGACGTGGATTGATACAGCTAAGATGAAGTCTACGAAGTTTACACCTGGAGGGAAGAGTAGTCTAAAGGGATCTCTACTCTTTGTCTTAGCCTAGTGCGACAATACACACCATCAGCTTCTAACAATATAGATCCAATACCATGAGAATACACTAGATCGAGAGAGCTATTTATGCTTTCTTCATCGTCTTTAGAAATTACGCCCATCATGTTAAAAGTGAATTCTTATAATTTACCATTTTGGGTACATCATGATCGTTTAGTCCGAACCTCTAAAGGTTCATGACCATGATTGATGTGACTGGAACTAATTCTTTCTTAGGAGTAGCATTATATTGGTAATTTTTTGAACTGTCAAAACTACTTCTCTGAGGGTCGCACAATGCTGACATTAGCGAGCTCTCTTCAGATATAGGAATTCTATTAGATCCTCATTAATTCCAGGCTGAGAGCCAACTTCACCACTTTTGGCCTTGGAACACGAACATCGCTTATGGAGACGTTGGCTAAGCTTTTGTGTAGCGGATTCATCATTGATGATATTATTTCCTTGCGAGAATTTAGTTGAGGGATTTTCCCCATCCTTAGCTTCTACCGATGAAGCATAGCGAGTATCGTGAGATGCTTTAGATCGAACTCCTAAAGGAGTTGTGGACTGGTGTCTAAGATCAACAGATAAAACTAGATCTTGACCTTCACTTGAGGCGAGGGTCGAGACTTCTTTACTCTTGGCAAAGTTCGTTTGGATTTTAGCTAAAACTCAAACTTCTTTCGGTGAAGGTCCCCTTTACACACGCGGGTGTTGATTTAGACCCAAGAGTCTAACTGCGATGTATCCTATGAGAACTACGAACAGTCATCATGGATGAAGTGTGGTTCGTGGAAATGAATTCCTCGAACTTCGCTTGGTCAAATTCAATGACCAGCAATTCGGCAAAAGACTGAGGGTTTTAGTGTCGGTGTGTGACATAATTTTCTCGTTAGAGAAGAAAGAAGTCCCTAGCAGATTTGCCATCCTGTTTTGGGTCTTTTAAAATTGTAATTGACACATATTACAATAAAAATATAATGAATAAAGAAAAATTTATATTTCCTAGGGTTCTTTTCTATGTGCTAGTGGAGCCTCGATCTTTACTCCGTTAACACACTAATTAAGACGATGAACCTTTTGTTGTTGATGAGCGTTTAGTGGCGTGGAAGATAGCTCAGTCTTCTCTTAGCACTTCTACTCAATGAAATCTTTCTATGCATGTGTCTAGATCTATAGATCTCCTTTGATTCTTATGATGATCCTTATCATGCGAAAAATAAATGACCCCCCCTCCTTTTATAGGTTAGAAGAGACAGTTAATGACCCCCCCTTTAATTGTAGATTAAGTGGTCATTAAAATGATTAGCGGGGGACGGGGGCAGTTATACCTTGAAAATAGCCCTCAAATGGCTACTAGATAAGGTTCGTTGGCTTGGCGAAGCTCACTGAGGACACATGGGTGAAGTTCACTGATGAAGACATTAGCGCAGTTCACCATTGAAGGCGTTGGCGAAGTTTGCTGCTGAAGTGAGTGAGGCTTGGTGAAGACACACGGATGTGATTCGCTGAAAGTATGGATGACTTGGTCCACTTGGGTTGTTATGAGCAAAGTTCGTCAGGTGACGAACTTCGCTTATGACTTTAAATTTAGCACAGAATTCGAATTACGATTCGGCCGACAAATGACACCTTTAGACTCGGTCTAGGGTGCATTTCTGGAGTTAACTCGCTCTTAACTTGCCTCAGTCTAGTCGAGATGGATTGTCTAATGAGGTTTGCTTACTCGGTTGGACGACCTTCGTTACCGTTTGTTGCAGGCTCAGTTTTAGGCCCCCCTTCAAGTGCTTGGCCTATGGGAATTCACTTCTTAGATCTAAGCTAAATATTAACATTGGTGAACATACATTTTAATGGTCTACATACTCATCTTTTGTGATGCGATAATTATTAAAAATATTTTGCGATTTGTAAGTGATTGATAATAAAGAATATATTTTTTATTATTTTAATTTTTATTAACTTTGCAAATTATATAATTATAAGTGATTAATACTAAGATAGAATGTTTGTTAAAATTTCTCATATTTTAGTTACTCCTGAAATTCCATATTTTCCTGCAAAAATCTAATTTTTAAGCAATTTTTCCAAAATAAAAACAAAAAAATTCGGGTGCCCAATGCCCAACCTGGTTTGGCCTAGGCTCGGACTTAGCGCCCGGGCCATTCGGGACTTGGTCCAAGTTCGAGCGGGGCATTCCGGAAACCCAGTCCAAGCCGAGCACGACTGGGTTGCCCCGTTTGGACATGCCTAGGTTTTCTTACAAATTGGGGCTCAAAAGAGTTCAATTTGAGGGTATTCCTTCTTTCTTTCAAGATTGGGTTAAGCAACTGTAATGTGTTTTATAAATATACCAATCTCTAATTTTAGTTGCCCTATTAACCTTAGAAGGAGGAAGAACACCCTCAAAATTTGAACCCTAACTCTTTTGAGCTCTAATTTGTAGGAAAAGCCCTTTTCAACTTATATAAATGACCCTAACTATCTGTCAAGTTGGCAGCTACATAGGACACACGTGAATGGTCACATGACTGTACTCGCTTGAATTTTGGCTCTAGCCAAAAAATAAGGGTACTTGTCACAATTTTGAATAAAGTATATCATATCATTGTCAGAGTAAAAAATATATATCTAATTAATACGTATCTAATTAATACGTGGGTCAACAAAATATATCAATTTGATAATATTATCATTTTGTTTTTGTTTTTACTTTTCTTTTTTCTCCCCCTTTTGATTATACCTTCATCTTTAACTCATTCTCTTCTAATGGTAAAAAAACACATATCTTTGAACCCATTTAAAGTACATCCTAGCTTGCTAAAATTATTAAAATTCCTCCAACCTATAATCTAATACCTTTGTTGCATTTTTCTTGCATTAGACTTGAATTTTCATTACTTTTCATGAGTTTTTATTCATTATTTGTTGGGTTGAAGATGAGAAAAGTATCGCACACATCTTTCTTCATGTGCATCCAAAGAAATACTAATCTTGGACCAACGCACGAATCACGAATTTTAATGGCCCAAAGGTTGAGATACTTTTGAGTCTACTGGATGCTTTCTCGTCGAAGAGAATGGTAAAAGCAGAAAAAACTGAAAAAGTTAGCAAGCCACAGGGGCTGAAGTAACAATTTTAGAATTGTGGAGGACTTATTCAGAATATAAAGATGTAGAGGACTCATACAAAATATATGAGATTTGGAAACGTATCTTACAAATCCTAAATTTATTTAACCCTAGCGGAGTTACCAGCTCGGTAGCCGGGACTGAAATAAACGGCGTTAGGCTACGGTCGACGACGGAGACTGGCGATGGAGGTCAACAATAGCGATCGGAAGCGCGGCAGCTACCGACGCCGGCGAGCGGGGAGTTGAGAACAAAACGATGACCATTAGTTAATCATTGGTTTAAATGATAACATTTGTATCAGTTACAAGGATTTAACAGTCCTGTTTTATAGTAATTCCATCTTTTATGGAATTATTTCGTCGATGAAGAAAGCGTCGTCGTGATCCATCGCAGTGCAATTCTGAACTCGCCTACCAACTGTTCGGTTTAATGCCGATGAGAAAAGAGTCCGCAGGAAAATGATCTCTTGCCATAACCGACCCGACCCGACCCGACCCGACCCGACCCGACCCGTTTCTCTTTGAAAACAGGAGTCTTTTTTTTTTGGTAAGAACTCTTTTGAACTCCTACTCCTACTTGTATTCATATTATTGTTCAAGTATTTATTTTAACTTATTTATTATAATTGTTTTTCAACACAGTTTTCATCTTATATACTACAATTAAATTGTTGTTCTTCGACCCGGCTTCTTAATTCCCTTCTCCTCAATCTCGAAACCAAGGTGTTTTAATGCAAATTGGAAACTTGTATACTCTTTCTTTTACGTTTTTTTTCCTTCTTTTTGTGGATGTAGCGATTCTAATATTGGTTTTGTGTTGACAAATAGGGTTTGCTTTGTTCCTGTTTGTTACAATGGGCGGGAGTAAGATTCAAATTCGATTTTCTTTAACGATGATCTTTCTTTTTTTAACTTTTCTGTTCAGTTTCGTGGATAACCCTATGTTTATTTTGTTTTAATTTTGTTTTTTGTTTTTGTCGAGCAGGCAGGTTGTCAGTGAAGAGTGCAGCTTTCGCAAAGCAGGCTGAATTCTACAAGAAGGACCAGTCGAGGCTTGGTAAGTTTGAAAACTTATGGAATATAATTTCTAGACATTGTAATTGTATAACTATAAAAGAATGATTTCACGCATATAAAAGTATCCAATAGAATTTGCACGCTATAATTATCATAATAATTGGTCCTTAGAGGTTCAATCCTACCATCCAAAGAAATTATTGATCTTGGATGTTACTTTGCCAGTTGCCTCTGATCACATATGTGACATGAGTATAGGCGAAGTTTAAAGCTATTAATTTAGAAATTCTGAAATAAGATCGATAAGTAAAGAAAAGAAAAGGAAAGGAAAGGATAATTTGCATAAATTTAATGTGGAACGTATTTTGTACAAGACTTTTTTCTGGCTAAAATTTCAGCTAATGTAATAACATGGTAAACAATATACTGCGTAAAGCCTATATCTGTTTAGTAATGTTTTGGGATATCTTTCTTCACTCTTTCGGAGCTATTGAGAATAATGCACTTTATTTTTAATTCGATTAAGCTAGTAGAGTTGAAATATAAGGATCTCAAGTTTAAATCAGTTTTATCTTTCTCAGCCAATTTCTAAAAGTCAGAGTTGAGATCTCTGAATAATCGCAACAGACTTTCCTCTCTCCTTCTCTAATAAGTAGAGGGACAAAAGTTTCTAATAGTTTGGTTTAGGTTAGAGCAACTATATTCATATAACTCTTATAGTGAAATGTCTAATTAGTGTTTTTTCATAAATTGATATCATGCAGAGAAAAACAAGCTTGTTACATGGGACCCGTTTTATAGTGAAGATGGTTTGTTGCTTCTGGAACCGTTAGATACCCAAGATGATGAGAGCATAAGTCCAAAAAAATTGGGGCCTGATAACAGGTTGTCTTGGGTTCAAGCCTTGAAAGGAGGACAAATGGGTAAAAAGTTCACTAAGAAAGACGGTAAAAATTCTGCATCGAAAAAATGTGTCAGGGCTCAAGTGTCAAAGAAGAAAAAAAGATGCAACTATTTCGATAAAAAAGAGAGTACAAGTTATGCACATAAAGGTAGTGTGAGGGTTCGAGGCCTAGAAGGGGATCAAGAGTCTACTTATACCTCAGATGAAGAGAACATGAATTTTTCATCAGAAGAAGATACAACATTTTCACCACGACCAATCCAAAAGATGAGCGCTCTGTGTTTTGGATTACTTGTTGAGGCTCTCGAAAACAAGAGGTATCTGTCTTTATGCTCAGAACTATATATTACATGGAAATTGCGTTGCCATAATTATATTTGGAATTAGGCTCCCTTTTTAGGTTGCTTCCAACTTGATTCTTGCAAATATGTAATACTCATCATACACACAGATGCTCACACAAATCAACATACACAGACATAAATCATGGACCCGTCATTTATAATTTGAACTTGATTTCTTTACAATGCTTATCATGTTTCCACCTAGAAGCGCCATACTTTTGACACTTAAAAAGTCACTCTTCACCTTTCCAGAACAACATGCAATGAAACAGACATATATCAATATTTTCATACAAGAGGCCAATGTCCCGAATCAACTTTTTTGCCTTATCATAGGAATCGGGCAAAGTAGATTCACCGAGAAATAGCTTCTCTTTCAACAATTGCAGCAACATATTGAATAATTTGTTGCTCCATCTATTAGCGTCTTTTATATGAAGTAATTTTACTAAAGCAATTAACTTTGAACATTTGTAGCCTTGATACAAAGTTTTCTCAGAGTCATCTAACAAACTATAAAACTATTTTACTTTTCTGTTTGGTTCTTTCTAAAACATGACATGATGACCCATTATTGTCATCTATTATATCAACAATTGATGAA